TGCACAGGCGACACTCAACAAACTGAACCACTCCAGCTGGGCTCTTTCTTGCTTCACTCCTTTGCCTTTTGGCTTTATCTAAACTAGCATTCCCCAAAGCCACACGTGGACACTGTGCGTCCACTCGGAAGGGTGCGCTAGCAATAGCACTCGCTGGTTGGCCTCGAACAAGTTACTTAATATCTCTGGGCCTCAGCTTCCTCATTTATGAAGTTAGGATCATGCACTAGATGCCTGATTATGGAAACATATAAAGAGCACTGATGTGGAGATTCTTGAGCCCATCTTTTGATGAATATACACATGCTTTTCTGTTGTGGTCTGGGAATGAAACTGCTGGGTCATATGATATCTGAATGTTCCTCTTCTAGATGCCCTTTAAGGATCGTTCCTAGTAACGGACCCAAACACTGTCATGGAGCACAGAGCCAATAAATAGGTGTTTCTATCTTACCTAAAAATTCACGGTTAATAAGGTTCAGTGCCAGGGCTTGTCAGCGCAGGATTTTCTCCAGCCCAGCCCCTGCTGGGTAGCCACACAAAAGGACACATGCACACTCCCACACTCCAGAGCCTGCTTGTGAAGAAAGCCAGGTAGCAGAGATCTCTTGTGATGGGGGTAAATTGTAATTCTATGGCCAGATGAGGAGCCCACATGGCCAGCCAAAAGAAGTTTCTGGAGCTCTGGAAAATATTCACTCCATCATGAGGCACCTCAGAGCCAGCACTAAAAAAATGAATGTCAACAGATAATTTAGTCCATCTGAGCCCCCCTGTACTTGAAGCATCTGGTAGATCCTCAATAAAAATAACCATCGAAGTATAGGGTAAAGTTCGCTGCACTAGCATTTTGTAAGAGAAATTTGTGTTTTAAGCACTTTTCAGGAAACAGGAAATTTCTCCAAAGTAAGCACTTAAAATACTGTATACAAAAGGAGGCTTGGAATGTCAACTTCTGGTTTAGAGAAATGGGTGGAGCTCTAAGAGCAGTGTCTGTCAAAGTGCAGCCTATAGACCAGCATCAAGAGCACCAGTTGTTGATAAAAGACTTAGATTTCAGCCCCACCCCAGAGTCAGAATCGCTTAGGTGGGGTCTAGAAGTTGGCGTGTGAACAAGCTCACAGGTAGGTGGTCCTTAGGCACTGAGCCTATTATCTGTGCTCCGTTACCCACTGCAAAGGGTCTCTGTGTTTTTGGGGCCAGGCACTTCAACATAGAAAGATAAATGTCCTATCATTTACCCGTAAGCATCTCTGCTGGTTCTGGGGCAAGTCCAATTTCTTGTTTGCAAAACTCTTCAGATCCTAGCCTCAAGTGGACCTGCTGGCTTTTGCTTTTTCCTGGGATGCCATTGGCTGGATTAAATCACACAATTTTGCCTCTGTTGGTGACAGCGCCTTCTCAGTTGTCCCCCTTGTTTGAGCCAGCCCTCTGTGGCTTTGTCCATGTCACTTCTGAATGCTCTCTGAAAACCTCCTTTGTCCTCATCAGCCGTCCACTTCACAAGTGCTGGTGTTATTTGGAGGCAGGGTTTGGGATGCCATGTAGCATAAAGCCATGATTGTATTAAAAACCAGAAGAGGGTGAGCAGCTAACACAAACACGAATACAGCCTAAGCACATGCTGTACCAGGGGAGAGAAAGAGAATGCTCTGTTGTGGCTCTGCTTTGTTTCTGAGGTCTGGGTGCTCATGTAAAGTCCTCGCAGACTTGCTAGTGAGATTTACAGGATTCCAGCTTGGCAAACGTGCCCATTTTGAAGCCCAAAGCCCTGGGCCCTGCAAGGCGCAAGCCTAAATGCCTAGGATTCCCTATGGATGCGGGAAGGCCCCAGGCTCAGTTCTTGGGTTCTGGGGGCATCTCCCCTGTGCCCCCAAACACACATATCTAGTTGTTCTTCCTCAGAGCTCAGCCCTCCACAAATTCCACCAAATGCAATCATTTTCTGTTCTGATATATAAAATTTTCAGGCCCTGGCCAAGTAGCTCATTAGTTGGTGTCATCCAGATGCACCAAGGCTGTGGGGTCGATCCTGGTCAGGGCCTGAAAGAATCAACCAACGAAGGCATAAATGGAGGAGCAACAAATCGATGTTTCTCTCTCCCCCTTCCTCTCTGTCTCTCAAAACCAATCAATAAGAAATAAAATCAAATCTCATAAAAACTTATTTCCTCCTTAGTACCATGTTGCCTTGAGAACCTTTAGTAAAAGCATAGTCATCTACTTTGGGACACTTAACATTATTTCACTGTCAGTTTTCCACCACAAGGAACACTTCAATAAAACAGGAAATGGTGAATACAAATAGGCAGTCCTGGGCTAAAAATGAATGGTGGAAACTTTTACCAAAATGTTTTCCACCAAAGTTCACTCTCTTTAGTTTTGATGACTACCCACTGGGTCATTGTGGCCAGATGCCACGGACCAACCAGGAAATTGAAAAATAAATAAATAAACTGTTTCAATTTTGAATCCAGCCTTTTAGGAACTCTGGTTTTATGTTTTTGTTTGGTTTTAGAGGGTTTTTTGTTTGTTTGTTTGTTTGTTTGGCGGGATGGGAACATAGAAAATGCTATTCTGACCCAAACTGAGCAAATAGAGGAGTTTGGAATACAGCATGTTTAATTATGAAAACGTTGGGATTTTTACTTCATAAGAGTAGCAGAGAAAACTTGACAGGGAGGGAAAGGAAGGGAGCTCAATGCCACACCAGTATTTTAAAAAATATATTTTATTTATTTTTCTACAGAGAGGAAGGGAGAGGGATAGAAAGTCAGAAACGTCATGAGAGAGAAACGTTGATCAGCTGCCTCCTGCACACCCCCGACTGGGGATGTGCCCGAAATCAAGGTATTATACATGCCCTTGACCGGAATCGAACCTGGGACCCTTCAGTCTGTAGGCTGACGCTCTATCCACTGAGCCAAACTGGTTAGGGCCACACCAGTATTTTGCTAGGAATACGATTTCATTCTCACAACACTACCTTGCTTCCTGTGCTCCTCCCTTTAGGTTAGAAAACAGGTTCATTAAGGTTAGGCAACTTGCTCAGGAATTCTAATGTCGATCATGTTTTACTTTTCTTTGGTGTCCTCAAAGAGAAAGTTGTGTGGAGTCTTAATAAAAATCTCCGCTATGGTATAGCAGCCTGATTGCTAAAATAAATACCGCCATTCAATAAGAAATCCCTATGCTATACATCTATAGAACACTCATTTCTAGTTATATTCATACTGTTCATTTTAATGCCAATCAGAAGAACCGTGAATAGGGCCTGTAGTAGTTGTCAAGATGCTGTTGAATATATAGTGTTAATTTTACCCAGTTCCAAGAGGACCAGACATTGGCATTCCTGTGAAGATGCAGCACTTACAATTGTCCGCAGTGCCCTCTGAGCCCTAGTCTCCCACAAGGCAGACACCTACGGAGGAGACAAAAGATGATAATTGAGGACTAAGGTCCAGTGAATCATGCTGGGGAGAAGGAAGGAAGGTCTTTGAAGCTCATTGAGTCTGTGAGTGATACTTTGGGTCAGCTTCAACTTTCTGCATTCTCCTCCTGCCAAAACATCACTTGTTTCTAGATTAAAGTGTGGTGTAGGCCACAGTGAATCCCAGCTTCAAGATTTGTGGTGAAACGGGACAAACTTAGAGTTTGGGAACAGATAGGGGAAAAAACAGACTCCCTCACAATAAGCCACCATACCTGTTACATTGTTCGTATTGATTCCTTCTGGCCTGGACTGATAGCCTCTACTGACTTGGCCTAAGAGCAAAGGCTGCAGAGGCAGGTAAGGTGGGAAAGGAAGTGAACTTCCACCCCACGTGGCTGAAGCGATGCCTGCCTATCTCCACTCTGCTAGCAAAGGAAGCTGAGGATCCAGCTCAGCCAAAGGCCTGGAAGAAAGCACAAAAGCATGAATAGGAGCTTAAATCTCACTGTTCTTTCAAAAAGCTTCAGTTCAGTCAAGGTGTGAGTTTAAATATATTTTATTGATATTTTACAGAGAGGAGGACCGGAGAGAGATAGAGAGCTAGAAACGTCGATGAGAGAGAAACATCGACCAGCTGCCAATGTACATGCCCTTGACCGGAATCGAACCTGGGACCTTTCAGTCTGCAGACCAACGCTCCACCACTGAGCCGCACCGGTTCCGGCAAGGTGTAAGTTTAAAAGGTGTGAGTTTAAAAGTCGTATCATTGGTAGCACTCCCTCTCTTTACTTACAGATGCTCACTCATGAGGTTTAACTTTACATAAACCCAGCTTAGCTGCAGAAGCAAGATGGCACGGGGGCCTCAGCGTGCATTTGAAGAAACCCCAGATCATCTCCTTCAATTGCTTGTTCTCTCCTTCGAGCCTAATAATAGTCCTTTATGCCATTCCTATTGTGGCTCCTAAGTCCTTCCATTTTGGGTTAATGGCCAGAAGACCCCGACCCACGTGCGTGCTCCAAAGCCCCCCATCTCCAATCCCGGCTGCCCGTGGGCGCACCAGTAAACGCGGGTGGAACGGAACAGGCCCCTCCAACGCCTCTTCCACCCCCGATTTCCGTTAAACATCCGCGCCGGGCACAGCGCGCAGCCTCCACGGGCCGGGCTCTCGGAGGCCAGCTTGGAGGCCAGGAGGGCCGGCCGAGGCCGCGGGCTCCGGGCGCACTTCCTGCGGGGCGGAGCCGCCGCCTCCCGTCCTCCCTCCTCCGGTCCCCCGTGTCCCCTCCCCTCCTTCCCGGGTGGGAGGCCCGGCGCCGCGGGGCGGGGCGCGGGCGGGCTGGGCGGCGTGGCGCTGCTGGCCGGCCGCCAGCGGCCAAGGTGCGAGCGGCCGCGGGGCTCGGCGCGGAGCGGGGGCGCGCAGCTGAGCAGCCGGCCCGGCCCGGCCCGGCCCCGCGGGCGGAGAGGCGGCGGCGGCGGCGGCGGCGGCTTCCAGCCCGGCGGGTGCAGGGCCTGTGTCAGAGCTGCAGCCGAGCGGGGCCTCGGCCGCGCGTCCCGGGCGCTGCTCGCCATGTCGGGCGGGCTCCCCAAGGCCCTGCCGTCCACGGGGCCCCACTCCCTGCGCGACATGCCGCACCCGCTGGCCGGCTCCAGCAGCGAGGAGGCCGTGGGCGGCGACGGCACGCCCAGCCCGGACCTGCCGACGGCCCGCAGCTTCGGCGACAAGGTGGGGCGCGCTGAGCGGGGGATCGGGAGGGTCGTGGCTCTCCCAGAGGGGATGGTGGGCACCAGCTCCCCTGGGCACCGGGCCGCGCGCCCCCCCCCCCTGGTGCCCCCTCCCTGGGGGCGGGGAGGCGGAGGGGCACGGCCGGACCCTGTCCTTTGGAAAAGGCGTTTCCTCGCCGCCCCCGTGGGGTCGCAGCTGCGGGGCAAGCGGGCGGAGGGCACGGGCTTGCCAGGCTGGTGAGGGCTGGTGAGAGGGGTCCCGCCTGCGGGTAGGGCCCGGAGGCTTGCGGGCAGGGCTCGGCGCCTGTGCCCCTGGATGGGGTCCCGAGTTCCTCCCGGTGGATCCCCGAAAGCTGCGCTGCAAAGTAACTTGGAGGTCCCCACCCCGGCTGGCTGGGGCTGCCAGGAGGTACGAGCTAATGGTTTTCTGCAGCAGGTCCGGGCAGCTTGGCTCTCTCCGCCCATCCTCTCCCCGGCCTGTCATGTGGGCAGGATCTTTGTTTAGGTTTGTTGTGTGCCCTGCGAAGTCACCTGACTCAGACCCCAGCGGCGGGAGGAGACCCAGCTGTGGTTTTCTGTCTGGGCTCCCTTCACCTCTGACGGCCTCCCACACTATTTAGGTTTGGCAGACGCTGGTTTTGTGGTCGAGGGAAAGAAAGCCCGCCCTTTGACCTTCTTTGTGCAAAGAGAGGCTCCTGATTTTTCTCTGAGCAGCGCAGCCCTCCCGCTGCTTCCAGAGACAGCAGAGTGGAGCGGCGGGTGAGGGGCCGCAGTCCCCCTCCCCCATCGCCACTGCAGCGGTGACCAGGGCTGGAGCCGCGATTGTACCAGCGTTTGAGGTTGACATGTATTACTAGTTGCAGAAATTCGAATTGTTCTCAACGCTTGTGACCAGGATTTCCTCCTCCTAAGTAAAATATGAAATGGATTCCTTCTTGTTCTACTACTAAGTGAAGTTAGGGACCTAACTTTCTTTCCCCGTTAGACCGGTGGGTATGTGGTACAATTAAAAGGAGCATGCCTGCACTGAGCACTCAGAATATCCAGGGCGGGTGTTTGACATACCTTCTTGAGAGGGTTTGCAAAAGCAAAGAGTGGGGAGTCAGGGGAAAAGCATTAGGAGCAAGAAGACTTAAAAAGCTCATGAAGCCAGTGGATTGAGCAACTTGAGGTGTGTGTGAATGGCTCTTTGTCTTTATTTTATAGATTATAAACTATGCGAAGGCTTATGTAGGTTGGAAATACCTTCCTCGTATTTACCACTCAATAAGAAATGGTTGAAATGACTGAAACATTTGTTGCTTTCTCATGGAAAGAGTAATTGTCATATTTGTATGTTGGTTAGGAACTGAGGTTACATCTTTTGATTTCCATTTCGGGTCCATGTAGGATAGCGAATTAATGTATCTATTGCTGTGTAATGAATTACCCCAAAATTTAGCACCTGAAAATAGTTCCTGTGGGCCAAAAATCAGGGAGCAGTGTAGCTGGGTGGTTTTGACTCAGGTCTCTCATGAGGTTCCCACCAAGCTGTTGAGCGTTGTGTCATCTGAAGGCTGGAATGGGGAGTGAACATCTATTGGGCATAGCAACTGGTCTCTTCCAGCAAGTGATTCCAGCAAGCAAGAGAGCCCAAGACTCAATCCCCAATCTTGTATAAGCTAATCCTGGAAGTGACATACAGGCCTCTGCCACATTCTGTTGGTCACATAGACCAATGCCAGTACAGTGTGGGAAGAGGGTATGAATGAATATAGGCACTGTCGTTTATATAATTAGCAATGGCTTCATTATATGTAGTTTCACTTAAAGTCACAGAACTGATGGGCAACATTAAGTTAGAGGTCATAGGGGCCATCTTCGCAGATGGCTACTCCAGATGGCTATTTTAAATACTTGCTTAATGGTCCACTCTTGGAGGACACCTGACCCAGAGGTGTGGGCATTTCACTAATAAGTACTAGGAGGACATACACCCTGTACGACCAAGATCTTGTTGATGGACAGGAGGTCAGGATCAAGTTTAATTTCTGCTGGCTGCTTTTACGGAGACAGTTATATGGGAGAGACAGTCTTGAAGGCCTTATTATTAATTATTGATTTTTTTTTGGTTGATCTTTACCCCAGGATATTTTTTCCATTGATTCTTAAAAATTTTTTTTTTTTAATTTATTTTTAGAGAGAAAAAGGGAGAGAGAAAAACATCAGAGAGAAGCATCAATTGCATGCTCCCATGGGGATTGAGCCACAACCCATGTGCCCTTACTAGAAATCAAAACTAATGACGTCTTGGTGCATGGGATGATGCTCAACCAACTGAGCCACACTAGCCTTGCTCCATTGATTTTTTTTTTTTTTTTTTTTTTTTTAGAAAGAGTAGAGGGGGGAGAGGGCGGGAGTGAGAGAGAGAGGAAACACATCGATTGGGCCAGGGATCAAATCTGCAACCTAGGCACGTGCCTTTTACCAGGAATTGAACCTGAGACCCTGGCCGACACTCTAACCACGGAGAACAATGGCCAGGGGGTAATTATTGAATACTTAATACGTTTCCTTAGAGCTGAAAGGAACACCAAAATGACATCATTCCCAAGGGTCTGATGTATAGTAACTCACTTTTCCTTAGAGGCTAAGCAATATGATTTGTTTCTCTGGGAGTAACATTTTCCTTGAATCTTGGCATGTGCACATATGTTTTCATAACTCCGGAGACATTTCTGTAGAGAGAAGTTGACAAGCATCAAAGGTGAATCAGGACCAGTGGAAGGAAGGCTTCCCTTTGCCCTGCTTTTTCCTGCTTGGGCAGCATGCGGGGCAGGTAGGAACACTGAGTGCTCCGCTTTGTCTTTAAAAAAGAAGTCTATTCTGCCCTAGCCGGTTTGGCCCAGTGGGACAGAGCGTTGGCATGCGGATCGAAGGGTCCTGGGTTTCATTCCGGTCGAGGGCACGCACCTGGGTGCCTGGCCCTGGTCGGGGTGCATGCAGAAGGCAACCAATGGGTATGTCTTTCTCACGTTGATGTTTCTCTCTCCGTCTCTCCACCTCCCTTTCACTCTCTCTAAAAATCAATGAAAAAAATATCATCGGGTGAAGATAAATAAACAAGAGAAAAAGAAGCCTGTTCTCTCGGGTCTTTGGATATCCGGGTTGTGATCCTCGATGCCAGCTTCAGAGTCAGCGCTGGGCTTGGAGAATGAGGATCGGACAGGCTGCGTACAGTGCAGGGTTATGACATTGCATGAGGGGACTGGTTTCTGTGGGCCCAGGATGGTGCCAGGAGCAGGGATGCCATGTGTCCCGGTCCAGCAGGCAGGTCTGAATGGCTCCTGGGGTACAAAGAGGCAGGAAAGACCATGGCCTCTCCACCCACAAATCTAAAATCTTTCAAACCATGGAGTAATGGGAGGAACTCTTTCTACCAAGAATTGCTAAGGCTAAGTCTTTTAAAGCTAGCTTAGCTCACCAGGCCTTCTATCACTACATCCTTCTAACAGCTAAAATGTAAGCAAACCACTGGTCCATATCTTTCTCTCTCTCTCTCTCTCTCTCTCTCTCTCTCTCTCTCTCTCTCTCTCTCTCTCTCATTTTTATTTTTTTTTGTGTGTGTGTGTGTGTTTTTTTTACTTTCATCTGCAAACCGCTCTGGCCTGCTTCTCCCCTGACTCGGTCTTCAACTCCAGTGTGCCTCCCCAAACTTCACATCAATCCCTCTTAAGCCCCAATGGTGGTTTACACCCCTGCCCACATCCTCAACCTCTTTACTGAACTCTTCCACCGCCTTCCAGCCCCCTTCGGTCCCGGCTTCCCCCGAAGTCTTTGAAATGGAAGTGTCTTCCTCCCGTACTCCACGCACATCATGTTTAGGAGGTAAAACTCGGTGTCCTTTCTCTCCACGAGCCCAGTTCTGCCCCTTGGAGACTCCTGCCTTTTTATTTGTTCATTCAGTAAATATGTGAGGGCCTGCTAAGAGTCAGACGCTGTTCTAGGAACTTGAGATGAATCAACCAGTTGCCTCTCGCCCTCGTTGGGTCCATTCGCTGTATCGTGTAATAAGTGCTGTAGAAGGAAGAAGCAGTGGGCAGGGAGGGGAGTGTTCAGGGTCACTGGCTGTGGGGGTGGGGATGCAGGTAGGCCTTATTGAGAACCGGAGATCGGAGCAGAGACGTGAAAAAAGTGAGGCAGTTTGTGAGTGGATGTCTGGGGGAGTGTCGAGGTGGAGGGAACAGCCAAAGCAGGGGCCCGGAGGCACATTTTCGGGGTGTCATATAGCCCAGAGGCCTGATGTGTCTAGAGCAGAGTGAACAATGGAAAATCACAGGCTGACGGTGCGGTGTGATGGGGGCAGACTGTGTAGGGCCTGGTAGGCCACCCTGAGAACTTGAGGCTTCACTTTGAGAGACATTGCAGGGTCTTGAGCAGGAGGAGGGCATGGTTTGGCTTATGTGTTGAAAAGGATCCTACAGGCTGTTGAATTGAGAATTTCCCTTTGTTTGACTAGACTACCGGGTTAGGTTTCTTTTTAATTAAAATGCCATAAACCGAAGGCACATTGGCTCGTGTTGTCGAAGAGCCCCAGGTATCTGGCTTCAGGGACGGCTGGAACTAGGCGTTCAGGTGATGTCCGGGATCTGCCACCTTCCTGTTGTCTCCGCGTTCTTCTGTGTTAGCTTTATCCTTAGGGAAGGGATATGTTCACGGCTACGGCAGAAAGTGAGCACCTTTTTCCTGACGGTTCCAGCGAAAGCTTGGCCTGGTGTCTCACGGACCCAAATTGGGTCAGGCGCCGAAGCCAGTCTTTGTAACTCGGCTGGCTCAGACCTGACCCTTATCTTCAGAGCGTGGGGAAAGGAAGTTTTAGTATGTTCGTTTGAATTGTGAAATCTAGATCCCAAGTATATAAAAGGCACCTCTTTAATCTAAAGAATAAAATGTATCTATATGGCTTAAAAAATAATAACATGAACACTCATGTTCTTTTTTTTTTTAATATATTGATTTTGT